GAGGAGGAAGCAGGCTCCCCACTGAGCAGAGAGCCCAATGCGGGGCTCCATCCCAGGACCCTGGGATTATGACCTGAGCCGAAGTCAGAGGCTTTAAACCACTGACCCACCCAGGTGCCCCAAGTAAAACATTTCTTATATGCATTATCTATCCCTAGAGGGAAAATGGAAACTATATCAAGATAGCTATATATTTTAAAATAACGTGGGAGAGCATTTCTTTGTGGAAGGGTAATGGGCATTGCCGATTTCTTACTGGCATCCCATCCAAGCCCTACTGCTCCTTTCACAACATATGACCCAGCAATTACCCTCTTAAGCATGTACCTAAGAGAAAATGAAAACGTATGCCCACATAGAAACTTGTTCACAAATGTTCAGGACAGCATTTTCATAATATCAAAAACTAAGAAACTATCCAAATTTCCATCATCTGATAAATGGATGCTGATAAATACAGTATGTAAAATAAATACAGTATGCAAAAAAAGTACCCCAATTTTTTAGAAATAATTCAGCCATCTTCCACGCTTGTGATAGACTCTATGGAAAGCTAACACTTGTCTGGTCTAAGTGTAATTGTATCCTTGCTACAACAAATCATTCAGGAGCCCAAATTTAAGGGAATCAACATGGAATTTTCCTGATTAAGAGACTGGGTTATTACAGAGCAACTTTTTCTTTTAGTATGTCTTTACCTAGTAGTATATCCTGGGAAGTAGTGTGAGTGGTCGTCCCCAGGAGCAAGCGATAAGGGAGCATGTAGTTGGTAGTGAATTTTAGAGTAAAAAAAAAAAAAAAACAACCAAAAGTTGATCTGCATTTTTACATGTTTTTTTTGTATGAAATTTTGTTTCATCTTCATTTTTAATTGAAATTTTTATTGATGTAATTATAGATTCATATGTAGTTATAGGAAATAATACAGATAGATCCCCGTGTCCTTTTCCCAGTTTCCTCCAGTGGTAACATTTTGCAAACCTACACTATAATATCACAATTAGGATATTGCCATCGATGAGTCCATCAACCTCATTCAGATTTCCCTGTTTTTCCTTGTACTCATCTGTGGGTATTCACTTCTACACAATTTTATGACCTATAGTTCTGCATGTCCATGACCACAGCCAGGATGCCGAACAGTTCCAACCCCACAAGGATTCCTCATGTCTATTATCTCTACACTCTGGCACCTGCTAATCCGTTCTCCAGTTTTTAAAGTGCTGTTTTAAGCAGCGCCTGGTGTCTCAGTTGGTTAAGCATTTGACTCTCGGTTTCAGCTGAGGTCATGATCTCAGGGTCATGAGATTGAGCCCTGCATCAGGCTCTGTGCTCAGTGGGGAGTCTGCTTGAGGATTTTGTCTCCCTCTCCCTCTGCCCCTCCCCCCACTCAGGTGCTTTCTCTCCAAAATAATCTTCAAAAAAATAAAATATTTCAAAAATGCTATATAGATGGAATCATATATCATGGGCTGACTTTTTTACTCAGCCTACTTCTCTTGAGATTCATGCAAGTTCTTTTACTGATAAAGTATTCCTTTTTTCTGAGTATTATTCTATGTAGGAACCACAGTTGGTTAAAACATTCATCCAGTGAAAGACCTCTAAGTGTTTTCTAGTTTTTTTGCTATTATTATTAAAACTGTTATGAACATTTGTGTGCAGGTTTCTTTATTCTTTTTATCACCCTATGCTAGTGATTCTAAGCCAGACCATTCTCACTGACCTGCTCCCGGCCTAATACACCACTCTGGTACTGGAGTTTGGTCTGTCTTCCTGGAATTGAAGGATGGTAGACAGGGCAAGCTGTGGTGACTCTTCTGCCACCAATCTTTGACAAAACTTTTGCTCTCTCTCTGCTCTCTTTTCTTCCTGTTGACTAATGCTCATTATTTTCTGATCCGCAGAGGGAACTACTTTGCTTGACTTAATGTACCCCAGCCATGTTGTGGATTAAGAATCAGTCTATGGATAAGCCATCATTAGGTCAGGCGTTCATGCCAATGCAATACACAGCTATTCCTGGGTAAAGAACATCCTCTTTCCCAAATTATGAGGCAAAGTTATTTCATCTGTGGGCTATGCACTTTCTCGTATGTGATTTCTGCTAACAGGAGGCATTGAATGGGACATGATTACCGTGTCTGGTATGCATGGAAGATTCTCTAGAATTCTCACAAAAAACCCAAAAACCAATAAAACCGAAAATGTTGACTTTTTACAATAATGTTCTTTAAGATATGGTGGTAACATGAACTCCAAGATATAAAATGATCTGCTGACCAATGAAAAGTTAGGGGATATATATACCAAAAAAAGAACACTTTAGTTTTGGAAAAGTTGATTTGTAGCCTTTCTTTTCGTAGGGAAAGTACAGATTAGGCTTACTGATAAGGTCTCTCTGAGACCAAGAAAACAAAAACATAATATATAAAAAATGCTTTGTGTCCCTTTGTTTGTAACTGAGAACAATAAAAGGAAAAAAATTATTGGATCCATTAACATCTAATTTTTTAAAAGATTTTTTAAAAAGATTTTGTTTATTAGACAAAGATAACAAGTAGGCAGAGAGGCAGAGAGAGGAGGAAGCAGCCTCCCCGCGGAGCAAAGAGCCCGATGCGGGGCTTGATCCCAGGACCCTGGGGTCATGACCTGAGCTGAAAGCAGAGGCCTTAACCCACTGAGCCACCCAGGAGCCCCAACATCTAATTTTTTAAGTGGCCAGGAAACACTTCTTCCTCTAACGCAGGGGTTGGTAAACTCTGCCAGCAGGCCACCTGTTTTCGTAGTTTCCCTGGGACATGGCCATACCCATTCACTCACTGTATGGCTGCTTTCATACCACGCCGGCATACCTGAATAGTTGCAAAGGCCTGCAGAGGCTCAAATATTTACTAGAGGACCCTTTACAGAAAAAAATTGCTTTACTTTGATTATTAAGAAATCATTATTCTAACCCTGATCCTTTTGGGTGGTATTCTATATGAACATTAACTATGAAAGGCTATGTTCACTCATGCAACTTAACTCAAATTCCTGGCCTATGAAATGAAAGGTCAGTACATGCCCAAATCTAATAATTTTCCTGCAGATTTTCTCTGTAAGGCATTAGAGGGGATGAAGATGAGTTGACAGAACTTTCATTACTGGCTCATGTAAAACTCTGCCCTGAGAAACCCAGACTGAAATCTCTCATTAAAAGCTGGTGTTCCTTAAAAAAAGTACATAAAAAGATGAAGCATTCAGTAAAATAAAAAGGCATGTGTTGGCATGAAGAAAGTTGAGTATACATTACTGGATAAGCCCAGGCATCAAATTCCCTGACCTGGTGAGGCAGAGCTGCAAAGAGACTTCCCCATACAGTCTACACCTTTAAAGGATCCCAGAGTGTGTGTTGGGGGAGGGGGGAGTTGCCCATGTTTCACGCCCTGCAGGGAAGATACACATCATACCAGTGGTGCTGTAAGTGTCTGTTCAAAGTCCCAGCTTCGTCCCTGAGATCCTTAGAAACCATTTTGGAAAGAGACCCTTTTCATGAAGCAGTGCGGGTCATTTCTAAATAGTCCTGGATTGTCCATTTATCCTACATATCCAAGGATGACATAGAGGGACATTAAGTGGAACCTCAGTGGGAATGATTGAGTTTGCAACTGGCACGGTGGACTGGAATCTCCTGGGCCACTTGATGTATAAGGATGATGACCATCTGAATCTTGCAAGAGCTGAGTGTTTAAGATCCTTTTACAGGGAATTTCACAAATACACAAAAGTCAATTTTACTCATTTTTCTAGCCACAAATGTAGCTCCACCTTCTGGATTTTAAAACAAATTCCCCTTGGGTAGATTCTAACACATGGGGTGCAATTTTCAGTTCATCTCTCAAACTGCTTTGGTGTCCACTATGTGAAAAGACTGCTTCCTTTGTCATAAAAAGCCAGTTTTCTCTCACTTTTGAGAGACTTGTCAGGAACAGTCAAGGTTTTGTTTTCTGTTTTTTGTTTTTATTCAACCTTTGAAAATAAAATCTGCAGTATCTTTTTAAGATTTTATTTATTTGACACAGAGATCACAAGCAGGCAGAGAGAGGGGGTAAGCAGCCTTCCCACTGAGCAGAGAGCCCGATGCGAGGCTCGATCCCAGGACCCTAAGATCATGACCTGAGCCGAAGGCAGAGGCTTAACCCACTGAGGAACCCAGGCACCCCAAATCTGCAGTATCTTAAGATTACTTTAAATATGTGATGACTATATGTGGTGAAATGCTTTCAGTAACTCGTAATTAGATAACATCCAGCTTGGGGAGAGCAAAAAAGTACTTTTTACTAGAGAAAATGTAATGAGAGGTTACCATCAACTTAAGGCAGCGTACCACCACTTTACAAACATAAAATTGCAGCTTTACAAAAATCCGAGTTAGTACTTACATTTGAATACACTAATTTTACATACTTAAAGTCTTTAATTAAAAAAACAACAGCAACAACTCAATTGAAAGTTGACAAACAGGACAGAATTCCTTGCCAAAAATAGTCATTAAAAGCTAATGAATAGTTACAGAATGTATTTTACATTGACTTTTTTAAAAGTGAAATTTTCTCTTAAGGTCACAGAGTAAAAGGCATAAAATAGAAGCTATTAATTACGTTGTAATGTTGAATACTGGGTTTGGGTTGCTATTTTAATGGTATTTATTCTGTATGCTGTATCTATGTGGTCTGACATTCCTTTCCCTTATTCTTCTTTAGAATTTTTTCGAGTAAGCACAATGCCGTTTTTAAAAAGATTTTATTTATTTGGCAGAGAGAGAGAGAGAGATCACAAGTAGGCAGGCAGAGAGAAGGGGGAGGCAGGCTCCCTGCTGAGCAGAGAGCCTGATGCGGGACTTGATGCCAGGACCCTGAGATCATGACCTGAGCCCAAGGCAGAGGTTTAACCCACTGAGCCACCCAGGTACCCCCACAATGCCATTTTTAAACTATTCAATGATCACGCAAGAAGCGAAAGCACAGCACAGGAATATAATCTTTATTGTATTTTAAATAAAAACAGAGCAGATAGCAAGTTCACGAGGTATATTTGATTATTATTCCTTTAAAATCAGGCCTCAATAACAATAATCAAAAGCAAGCCTTAACCAAACAAATATTTTGGTCACTATTATAATCTTCAAGGGCACAAAAGCCAGCAGTGCAAAGTAAAAGAAAGGTAATGGCTATGAGAATTTTTGACGTGCCAAAAAACGTATTATCACTGCATGAAACTCTTTCCTTGTATTTGCTTAATATTCTTCTTAAACATTGAAAAATTATTCAGCAATATAGCAAACATGCACATAGTATTCCTACAAGAATACCATCACTGTCTTAATATTGTCAGTACTAATACTAAGCCTTTCTTTCCCCTCAAAATGCAATGAATCGTGGTTCCACTCCCTTTGTATATTAGTGTTAGTGGTAATACGTAAAATTTTGTTTTCCAGCGTAAATAACCAGATTGACTTAGCGTTTGGTGACCAGTTGTCAGACCAACTATCTACCACCATCTATTTTCTCATCTTTTATTTTCTTAATAAATACAACTACATTTCATAAGCCCTGAGATATTCATTAACCTGCTAATGATTGTATACTTTTAATTTATACTTGACTCCACTCAATTTGAACCCCATGTAGTAAGTATTTAAATTACTTACAGATGTTTATAACTAAACGAATCACAAAATTAACTATCTATATAGTTACATGGCTAGTAAGGCCTTTAACTAATAGTTGCATATTTTATGCATTTTTTTACTTGGTAGGAGCAATGCTTAAACTGACAGTTCTCCATCAGCAATAGGTGCTTTTCATTTTGCTTATTTCTATGTGGATAACCAGATTCATTTTCTTCTTGTAAAATAATTCTTTATTTCTTCCCCAAATATGTTAGCTGTCCAACTGAACAGGTGCCAAAAGTAACTTAGAATTCACACAGTACATTGGTAATTCCAATGCTGAGAGAGAAATAAGCATATAATAGGGATCCCATAAATGTTAGCTCTACGTGAAATGAGTCAGTGTAAGGCGGCTGTCAGTGTCATGTACTTTTTAGCATACACAGTCATGAACTTTGCCGAACTAGGGAATTCAGGTTACCAGATTTATTTGGCCCTCAAATGTAAATCCAAGAATTTTAAACTTAAAAAACTGTTTCGACAATTCTCAGAAAAAAGTAAACACGTCGCTGATGGTTGCTACTATAGTAATAGTTGGTAGGGAAAAAAAAACGAACAGAATTATTACCTACTCAATGATATGTACAACTAAGTGAGGAGAAGAAATGAAAAACTAAGAAGGGTTAGCTAGTTATCATTTTCTGCACATTTATCTTTGCAGCTTTTTTTTGGGGGGGGTCATATATTTATCCCTGTTAACTTCTCTGGATGAAAGAGAATTTTATTATCTGAACGGATTTCCCCATCTTCCTAGGTACATGCTGGTGAAAAGCCGGTGTAAATGTAAGATTATATTTTCATGTCATGCCATATTTGCTTTTTTTTGCCAACAATAAAATTTTCCTATTTAAATAATGCCAGGTAGAATATGAGATAATCTGCCAACTCACTATGAGATTGCTTGCTTATAATATTCAATTTTCATTGGTAGCTTTTGAAGCATATTGCACACTTGTCATCTAACACATTACTAAGTAACTACTACTCTTTTTAGAAAGGATACACTGACAAATTCTTAAGTTAATGGCTTTGGCCAAACATTCTTAGTTTGTTACAGGACAATAGCAATAGCGAAAACATTGACAATACAGTTCATGGTTCGGTTCTCCCATCTTACGGTACAGGTTCCTGAAACACACACAAAATGAGAACTCAGATTAAATATCAGCAAAATATCGAAATTGCGAAGGAACATATATACACATTTTTCATCAGTTTTAATATATTATTTCCTGCAGGGACGCCTGGGTGGCTCAGTTGGTTGGGCGGCTGCCTTCGGCTCGGGTCATGGTCCCAGCGTCCTGGGATCGAGTCCCACATCGGGCTCCTTGCTCCGTGGGGAGCCTGCTTCTCCCTCTGACTCTGCCTGCCACTCTGTCTGCCTGTGCTCGCTCTCGCTCTAGCGCTCTCTCTCTGACAAATAAATAAATAAAATCTTTAAAAAAAATTTTAATATATTATTTCCTGCAATCTGCTAAATCTTCACATTTCATCTCTCTCTGAAGGCATACTTGTGGCTAGGTACAAAGCGATCCTATTGATAGCCTTTTTAAAATTTAATTAGAGATAAACGAGCATTTGATCATAAGTGCACTGTTTGACCCTGCCGGAAGTTGGATTCTGTATGAATCAGCTTAAGGTCTCTTACCGTCAGATGTAGTATCCCAAAAACATGAACTGGCTGTGTGAAAGCCATAGGCACTCCTCTGGACCACCGCACAGGTCACTAAAAATAAAGTTGCAGCGTGAGAACACTAACAAAGGAAAAGACATCTCAGATATCTGAGTGAGTTCAGAGCTCTACAAGCTGTAAAAAGAACAGAAAACAAAGCTTTCGGCAAACAGAAAAAAAATAAGTCCTCTTGATGATCTACCACCACGATTCTGACCCCACTGGATCCAGTCTGTTGCCCATTGCCATGACCACTGGTGATTATGCTGCAGGAAAAATCTGGGCCAAATCACGTGCCTCATTCCCTGGGCATAATCCAAACACAAAAAAATGAAGAAAAGATTACACTGTCTAAACAACTACCGTGTGGCGCTTTGCCATCCTATGTATGTGTGGGGAGGCACGGAGCTCCTGATGGGGATACCGTAGGACTGAGTGGGTCTCCGTGGAAGGAGGCAGCTGATACAAACGTAAAACGGGCTGCTGTCAAGGACAGGCAGGCGGCTGGCAGGAGCTCCAAGTGCTTCCGAGTAGCGAAAGCTCTCCACCTTTTAGGTATTACCAGATACCCTCGTTGGAGCAGTAAGCTGGAAGTCCTTCGCATCCTATTAGAATCCAACTTGTCTATTACTCATTTACAGTCTCTAAGTTCAGAGAAGACCGTGAGGACAAAGGGGAGCAAACTAGGGAGGAAGGTCACTGATACTTACCAATATATTTATAAGCTTTTCCCAACTTAACCAAATGTGTCAAGGATTGCTCCACTATGCTTGCGGTCCACTGGTTGATGTTGTTCTGGTTATAATCTTCACCACCCAAGACCCCATCTATACACTAAAAGGGCAGAGGACAGTTAAAGACCTGTACAAACCACAGCAAAAATTTATTCAAAACAAAAAAAATTAATAACCCCAAAAAGCATCTTAGAAAATAGGCATCTGGGAAATACTTATTATGTCCTGTCTCCAGCTGTTTTAGAATTTTCAGAGTGTTCCTACATGTATCATCTCACTCTCTGAGATACTATGGGCCATATAAAGATCAATAGGGTGTGGCCTCTGTTGGAAAGAACTAGCAGAGAAGCTAATAAAAGAAATCTGTAACACAAGAAAGACTAATCGAGGATGATAAGCTATGTCATAAAAGGATTATGGAGGGGAGTGGAGATTAAGAAAGGGTGATATTAACTGGTTGAAGGTTGGCTTTGAAACAGCTGGGATTTGAAGAGGTTTCGGATGCTAGAAATAAAGCAGGAGTCCAATTTAAAAAGCGAAATCTCATGTGTAAAAATTACATTTTTGTTTATATTATGTAATTACTCAGCCATAAAGCTACCACCTCCTGCCACTAAAAGTAAATGAACAAACACCAGTTTTCAGGTGCCCCAGCATAAGACCGTTGAATAATTTTCCAGTGCTCACTCACATCCACCTCTGGATGGTTAAGGCCACTGGTTTAGCGTCACAAACTTAGGTGTAAGGTCACTTCTGCCACCTACTCACTGTGACCTTTTGCAAGTGACTTCACCTCTTGGAGCCCCTATTTTCCTAATCCTTAGAGATAAGATCCTCATCAGGTTATTGTGAGGATGGAGTGAGATGAATGTCAAGCGCTCAAGTCCAGTGACTGAGACAGAGTAAGCCCACATGTAACCTTACAGATCACCATCGTCGCCCTTATCGCTGCTGCTGTTCTATTCCTTCCGGCGTTATTGAGATGTAACTGACCTATAACAGTGTCTAAGTTCAAGGTGTACAATGTGATGACCTGATACACATGGATACACTAGGAAATGATCACAATAAGGTTAGTCATGTAACATATCCATCCCTCCATGCAGTTACCACTTTGTGTCTTTGTGGTAGAAACATTTAAAATCTACTCTCAGCAGGTTTGGAGCACACAATGCTGTGTTGTTAATCGCAGCCATCCTGCTATACTACGGAGTTCAAACACATGAGTCTGAACTTGAAAAATATGGCAGGATCTTCAGGGGCCTGTCTATCTTTCTCAGACCTCGGCTTGATCCTAGCTGTATAAAGCCAGCCCTGGGTGAGTTCTGGGTGAGCTTGTGCCCTAGAACATTCAGACAGGTGAGGTACTGTCTTAGGATGGACTGAGGAGGTGCTCAGTGCCCAGAAGGCAAGCCAACCCAGCCCAGACTTAGAGGCAGGTAGGGCCTGCTAGGACACAGCCTCAGCCACCATACCTATAATACAAGGTTGCCTTCTGGGCCAGCTCAATTTTCCCCTGGGATTTGGCACAGTGAAAAATGACTCAGGACTATTAAAAGTGTTCATAAATACCTTACCCCACCGTGTAGTCTGTATGGGATACCACTACAGTAATTCAAGTTTCTCTGCCAGAATTGATTCCCAAATAGAACTTCTTGTCTGTTTGCCTACTAGAAGGACCAGATTTCATGTTTCAAATACTTAAGGTTTTGATTTAGCATCATATCTGTGTCTATAAGATGGTAAGTGATTATTTTTCCAATTAAATTTGGCTACAAAAGCATGTTTCTATCATCTTTTGACATATATTTTACATATAGTTTACCTATGTAAAAGCGTGTGTGTGTGAGACACACACACACACATACATACACATACACACACACTTTTATAGCATTAACATTTAAACTAATATCTGGCCTACCAGAATAAAACTACTTTTATTCAAAAGACAGAACATCAGTTTTACAAAACAGCAAACCAGTTTTCTAGACTAATACTCCAATATCACTTTCAGAGTAAGCTCCAGGATGCCTGAGAGCATATACCAAAACAGCTTTCTAAGGCCCATCTCTATGAAGCACCCCCCAAAAAACTGAGTAAATATTAAAAATCTTGTTTGAATAGTAAGGTTTCTAACTTTGTACTGGAAGTCAAAACAGCTTTTTAAAGTTTCCATCAACGCAATAAGCTTCAAGACGAACAAGATGTGCAACTCACCTCTTTAACAATATTGTGCGCTTCATCGGCGTTGAATCCAACCTAAGGGGGAAACAAAAGATACAGCTGCTTTCAACACAGACTTCCTTTTATTTCTAGCTGTAACAACATGCAGAATACCCTAGGCTGGCCTGGGCAGGTCTTAGTGACAGCAGACCGTAGTGGTAAGGGGAGTCAGTTCTTTTTTTTTTTTTTTAAGTTTATTTATTTATTTATTTGAGAGACAGAGTGTGAGAGTGGAGAGTTCAGAGGGAGAGCAGACTCACTGCCAAGCAGGGAGCCCGATGTGGGACTCGATCCTGGGACTCCAGGATCATGACCTGAGCCGAAGGCAGTTGCTTAACCAACTGAGCCACCCAGGCGTCCCAAGGGGGGTCAGTTCTACCCAGGCTGCTAATCCCACCGCGAATACTTCTTTTTTTTTTAAGATTTTATTTATTTATTTGACAGAAAGAGAGAGAGAGATCACAAGTAGGCAGAGAGACAGGCAGAGAGAGAGGGGGAAGCAGGCTTCCTGCTAAGCAGAGAGCCCGATGTGGGGCTCTATCCCAGGACCCTGAGATCATGACCTGAGCTGAAGGCAGAGGCTTAACCCACTGAGCCACCCAAGTGCCCCCCACCGAGAACACTTCTGAAGTTGTGGGATGCTTTCCCTACCAACCTCCCTCAAGATTTGATTCATAAGGGCTGTGGCATAGCTTTGGCAATCACATTTTTTTAAAAGGTGCTTTACTGGTGATTTTGATGGATGTCCTAGATTGAGAAGCTTTGTATTGTAAAGCTCAGGAAATAGCAGGAAGAGGATATAAAGAAAGAGGTATACACATACGTCAGTATATAGGAAAAGACCACAGCAAGTAAGAATGAGGTGGTTCATGAGAAGAGACTGATTAATAGACTGTTTTCAATTTTGTTTTTTAACTTACACGGGACAAAAATGTGGCTTCTCTGAGTTAAAGGTTACAAAAATGCTTGATCTAAATTAATGTCACTTTACTACTGTAACAGGCCTGGCAAATTAGCCTTTGCTGTGAAGTGGCTTGACAGAATTCTGAGTTAAAAGCAACTATTAATGACATCCAAGTGTCCTAGAGTAGGGAACCAGGCTATGTGACTAAGACTGCAGTCTAAACTCAAACTCTTTAGGTAATACGTGATTTGTTTCCATGGAGATGTTTTAGGTGCTTTATGACATCACCATTTTTGTAAATCTCCCTGTGCAACTTAAAATTAGTTTAAAAAAAAACCCATCCTGGAAAAGTATCATTTTGAGTATAGATTTAAATTATTTTCAACTCATTTAATTACACCAGAGAATTCCCCAACAAGAATAAAATCCTAAACAATTAGAGTTGTGGAAACAGCTCTCACATTTTGACCCTCTCAAAATTATCATTTTACCTTAAAATAAGGTTATTATCTATTTGCAAAAGTGACCTATGAATGTCCATTTCACTTCAATTTGGAAGGGCACCAAAAAATCAGGTACTACCAGGTGGCCATAGTAACACATGTAATTTTATTTCTTTTAAAATATATTTAGGAAGTACTGCCGTACAGAACCCTCTTAGGAGTCAGGAGACTAGCACTTGTTGGGGGATAGGTCTGTCTGAGAGTGAAACTGCTTGTGCCTCAATTTGTAAAGTAAGACTACTTTCCCAGCGACGTACAAGCATGTCTGCTACCTGCATCGCAAAAGTAATGAATTTAAGTGTGGTTGTAGCTTCAGCAGAATCCCACCTACAGACAGATGGACAGAAAGCCCTTTCCAGGGCTCTAATAACACACCATTTTCTGTGGCACCTCCTCCAGGTGCCTACTTTCATTTCACTGCATCATTCGCCTGTGGCTGAACAGAAAATGTCTTTGTCTATTCTGCCCTTCAGGCCTGTCAAAGGTTCTGCTGGGATCTAAAAGGCCTTATCCTCCTAAAGGTTAAGTGAAGCCTGAGTTGTAGGTGTGTAGTCAGAGGCCTGGGTTCAAATAGAGCATGTCATCCCGGCCAGTTTTCACTTTGGGCAATTCACTTAGTCGCCGTGGAAGTCAGAGTCCCCATCAGTAACAGAAAGATAACTGACATCATGGGGTTCTGGTGAGGTGCCAGGAAGCCTGAGTCAGTAAGCAAGGGCTCCTAATCCATGAACCACCTCCTTCCAGCCCACCCAGGCCACAGTGCCACCGAGCGGCCCTGCCATCGGGACCTCGCTCGCGAGGCGGCCGCACCTGCTTCGGGTACGCCAAGGGGCGGAGGAAACGGCCGGGCAGACAAGCTTCTAAGGCCAGTCTCAGACGGGCGGCGCCCGACACCCCATCCCCACCCCACGCACCCCGAGTCCGGCCTTCCACCCCTCGGCCCCGATTCCCCGCCCGGCCCGCGTTCTCCCAGTCGCCCCTGCCACCCGGACTCTCAGCCCACCCTCAGGGTCCCGGGGTCGGGGGCTGGGGCTAGGCCGGGCCGGGGACCGGGGCCAGGCCGGGCGGGGCGGGTCCCGGCCAGAAGGGGAGGGGAAGACCCGGGCCCGGAGGGAGCCGCACCCCTACTCCCGGGGCCGCCCCGGAGCGGGGAGACCACCCTGCCGAGACGCCTCGCCGAGGCGGGCGGGGGCGGGGGTCGCTCGCGGGCGGCCGAGGGGCGGTACCTCGTCGCAGTGGCGGTGGTAGTCCTCCATGGTGGCGCCGACTCTCCCGAGGGGCGGGGCGGCGGGCGGGTCGAACTCCACGGCAGCACTGGGGCCTCCAAGGTGGCTCCGCCTCCATTTATCCAGGGAGGCGGTCCCCACGAAGGCCCCGCCTTTGTGTCGTAACGGCGCCACCTTGTCGGTAGCGCGGGAGGCTTCTGCGCGACTGGAGGCGTCCACCGTTTGCCTGCGACCTTCCTGGCTACTGGGCTGGTTGGTGAAGCGCTGGGGACTGTGACCCTATGGCTCTGATGGGGTGGCCTAGTGTTAGGACTCCGCAGTGTCGGTTGAGTGCCCACTGCTGTGTTTATGTATACGTATTATTTCGTCATCATCTAGCCAATAAACGCACTTAATGTAACAGTGAACAAGCTACTGTGATTTCTTCACTCACTAGCTACATTACTTGCGTTAACTGACCTCCCACAGCCTCGTATGAAAATTTAATGTTATACCTATTTCACGGTTGATTGTAAGACTCAAATGCAATGTTTATATACATAACTCTTAAAAGTAAACGCTCCTACACCGGTGCTCCTCGATGACTATATAAAAAGAAATAATTGATTTATAGGAAAGGAGGTGCAAATATCCTAAATTATAAAATTTAGCGGAACAATGATTACATTTATCTAAAGATAGTATACTAAGTTCCAGATGATCCTCAGGATTTCCTCATGTAAACTCAAAATAATCCAACAGGTTTCCTGGTGGTACTGTATCATCCCATTTTTTAACATGACACTGAGATACACAGAGTTGAATCCATTTGTGGAAGTTCATCTATCCAGTGAGTTATAGAAGAAGGATTTAAACTCAAAGAGTCTGAAAGCAGCACCCAAGATCTTAACCTAAATTAGTTTCCTATTGCTGCTATAACCAATTACCATAAATTAAGTGGCTCTAAGTGGCACAAACTTATTATTATTATTATCATTATTATTAAAATATTTTATTTATTTGACACAGATCACAAATAGGCAGAGAGGCAAGCAGAGAGAGAGAGGGGGAAGCAGGCTCCCTGCTGAGCAGAGAGCCCGATGTGGGGCTCGATCCCAGGACCCTGAGATCATGACCTGAGCCGAAGGCAGAGGCTTAACCCACTGAGCCACCCAGGTGCCCCCAAACTTATTATTTTTTAAAACTTATTATTTCACAGTGCTAGAGGGCAGAAGTCTAAAATGGGTCTGCAGGACTGCCTTCCTTCTGGAGACTCTAGGGGAGAATCCATTTACTTGCCTTTACACCTTCTAGAAACTGCCTGCCTTCCTTGGCTCATGACCCCTTCCTCCATCTTGAAAGCTGGAAGTTCAGTATCTTTTCTCCTCTCTGACCTCTTCTTCCATCCTCATGTCTTCTCCTCCTGTCTCCCTCTCAAGGTCCTGAACTTCATCATCTCTGTAAAGTGCCTTTTGTTAGTGAGATGACATAGTCACAGGTTCTAGGGATTTTCAGAGGTGGACATCCTCTGTGGAGTAGGAGTTGGAGGGAAAGGTAGGGGATGCATTACTCAGCTTATCACAACCATTACTCTCCTAAATTGAGGTTGGAAAGTTCATTACTATTCTAGTCCAACTCTTATTTTACAAGTAAAAGTAGAACTCAGAGAGGCACGTAATTTGGGCAAGGACACGTGGTTATTAGCCGGACCCCGGGGCTTCTGAATCTCAGGTCTCTGCCTTCTCTGCTCTCGTTTTTGTTTGTTTGTTTGTTTGTTTGTTTGTTTTGTTTTTTAAAGATTTTATTTTATTTATTTGACAGATCACAAGTAGGCAGAGAGGCAGGCAGAGAGAGAGAGGAGGAAGCAGGCTCCTCGCTGAGCAGAGAGCCCGATGTGGGGCTTGATCCCCCTGGGATCATGACCTGAGCTGAAGGCAGAGGCTTTAACCCACTGAGCCACCTAGGCGACCCTCTGCTCTCGTTTTATGAGCTTGGCTGAACAAAACTGGCCTGTGTACTTCATTGTGTGCACTTTGTTACCAGGTTCTCCTAAGTTGTGCTTCATGTCCTACTGCAGAAAAGCTGCATTTGTCATTCATAGAGGAAGACTGTTTCTCCTTTTTCAGGATATTTTGCATACTGAAGGTATTGCAATATGGGGACAGGTATCATGCCTACTTGTTTTGCAATCACAGTGAAACAGGTAATTGCCGTAAGAAACCTCTTCTAGAATTAGAAAGTATTTAGTTCACTTCAGGACGATTCATCTTTGAGAACCAGAGTTTGTTTTTCAAGTTATGAGGTACCACTTTGGGAATGAAAAATTCTGCATACTTGAACACAACACTTAAAATCATGGTTATTAATGTTCTCCCCAGTAGACCATCATATGTTTCATGACTATTGGTGGGCCTCTCTAATTTGTAGTGTTAACCCTGCTTAGCTATGTGTTCTGTTTTGGGCATGCGTCTATAATCTTTTTGTTTCTAGTATGCGAGCTACTATAAATCAAGACTTTCACACAGTACTATTTTAAGGCCTTTACAATATCTGGTCCCAATATGACAGCACAGCACAAACCATTATTACCAAAGAAAATTGCAAGGAAACACCATTTTCCTAATTATCAGAACTAATGACCAAGAGTAGAACACTACTTTTTAAATTGCTTTATTTAGGATGAACATGGAACAACAATAGGAAAGGGAATAGAAGATATAAATGGAATAAGAAGTTACTGTGCTCATATCTACTTCCTTTCCTTTCCAAAGCACTGATCACCAGTGTAGACCCGTGAGGAGAAATGTCCTCTCTGTGACGATCACTATGCTATAAAATTAGTCTTTGCAGGACTGAAAAGAACAGGAAGTGAACCTTGGCTGCAAATCAGAATCACAAGAGGAGATTTTAAAAATGATCTAGGCTAGAACCCACCTCCTGAGACTCTGATTTAATTGCTCTGGAGAGGAGCATGGCATCAGGAGTTTTTCAAAAGCCTCCCCCGGTGACTATAACGTGTAGTCCGGGTTGAGAACGTTTGGTGCAAAATCCTTTCTTTCCCCCAAAACAAGGTAAGTTGGCTTTTTCTGGTAAGACTTAAACAGAGTTCTGCCAGAAGTTAGAGAAGGAAGCCATATTAATTCCTGGGCTTCTTTGTGACCTATAATTTGGTCATTTATTCATTCATCAAATGTTCGCTTAGCACCCACTCTGTGCCAGGCGTTGTGTTAGAGCAGTGGTTCTCAATCGGGGGGAATTTTTCCCTTTTGGGCTCCTGCAAACATTTGATAACGTCTGGAGATGCTTTTGGCCATCATAGCTAGTGCGGATACCACTGACATAATGAGTAGAGGCCACGGACGCTGCCGAACATCCCACAATGCGCACAGGGTAGTGTCCCCACAACAAATCCTATTTTACACAAAATAATAGTGTTGAAGTTGAAAGACAGGAAAAACTCCCTGTGTCCATGGCATTCATGTGTATTTGCAGATATATATGTATACATGTATATGGGACGTCAGGTAGTGAGAAGCGTTACAAAGATGATTTAAGCAAAGTGAGGGTAATGAGGTGTGATGAGGGAGAGGCTATTTGGGTTGAGTTGATAAGGCAAGGTTGCTCCGAAAAAAAGTTTAAGCGATCATCTGAGTGATGTGAAGGAGTTAGATGGGAACATGAAAGTTAGATTAGAAGTTGGATTCAAAATGGGAAGTTAGATGAGAGAACTTTGTGTTTTCTCAGAGCAGAAGGGACTTGCCCTAATTTCAACATGAAACCGGTTATGGAGGCCTCAGGATCCGGTCATGTTCAGCTCTTGGAAGCGTGAGAAGAGTAGGATTAATCAGGGTTGGGATGTCTCCAGGTGATTTTAGCTGAGGAAGAGAGGAACGTGGGTTTTGAAGGCATTTTCAGAGGAGGGAGTGTGCTGATAGATCATGGACTCCAAGCTGAGTAAGTAGCAACAAACAGCGAAAATGCAACAGGTCATGGCATCCGAGGTCCAAGCAGGGTCAGAGAATTACTGCGGTGAGCGTTTTAGGAGAAATAGGATGGGAAGAAAGAGAGTGAGGGTCAGAGAGTCGGATGACTGAAAAGAACTTGGTGCCTTCATTATACCATTATCTCACGGTACCATGGGCCTACAAGCCAGGGGAGAGGGGCATTACCAGGAGTCAAAGAAGTTTGGTATTGGTGTCCCAGCAGGGGGACAATGCTTTCATCAGCTTCTGTGGCTTTTATTTGATGTCCTTCTCTGGCTTTTTGGTATTGGGGTGGTCAGGATATGAGTGAAAAGGGATCGCTGAGTACAAAGCCGAGGTTGCTGTACCATGATTAGCACACTGGCAAGGGGGAGGTAAGCAGGCACCTGGGAAGAAAAAGAAAGACTTGCCTGTACAGGCTGATGCCTTCCCTGCAGACTCAGATTCTATATGAGATATCCAGCCTATGTTTTTTCCTCTCTTTCTTGTCCTGGTCTGTGCCATGAATTTTTATCACGATTCAGTACTTGTTCATGCAGCAAAAGGTGAAATGTAATTTGCTTGTTCACACAGTTGCAGGACAGCCATGAGAATGTTTTTGGCTAAGGTTTAGGGGATTCATTTATTTGTGTGCTTCGGTCCCTCCTCTCGCCATTTCTAATGAAAGGGGCAATTTTCGAACCGTTTGTCAAACTAAGAATTTCACTCACTTTATGGGCAATCCACGCCCCAGCTCATGCACAAATTACAAACTTGAAACAAATCTCAGGGCTCAGCATATTTTCTAACATCACAGAGGGGAAAAAGAAAATCTTATTTAGTGTCTCTCTTTAAGTGGAAAGAAATGTTGACCTTTTGATCCGGAGTATAGACTATGATCCTATTGTGCCTTATGGTGCATTGTTGCCCTGAAGGGAACTATAAACTGATAAAAAATAAACATATTTCATGAGTCAGTTCTATACTGATTCAGAGAAAGAGCAGGTGCAAGGAAACCTATTAAATCTCACCCAGCTCTTAATTTCTGTGATTCTGCTAAACCATGTCTCATAAAGGACATTTCTTGATGATTTTGAAGGGCTGGATAAGGTATTTATGAGCATAAAATGCCTTCATTAAGTTTAGTCATTTTTGCTCTTCACAGATCTGCGTCCTTATCAGAGGAAATAATTCATTGTCCAAGTTTATATGCTAATGACCCTCTTCATAGTCAAAGCACATTATAAATATTTATTCATAGGCCAGATGAGAACCTTTAAAGTGGTTAATTTTAAAACAAAGCAACTTTTATATGGGGAGAAAATAACACTGAATATGAACAAAATGAGCATTTTGTGCCCTGGTTTTCCCATAACAAAGCCTTTGCTAAGAACTAACGCTGATCCTGTCTGCTTATTCAACACATGATCCATCTCTAGTGTTCAAATGCATAATAAAATATAAACATGTACAGATTGACCTCAGTTGACACGAATGGATTGTGTGTATATTTCTCATTGTAATAAGTATCATTATATACCCTCTTCCTCAGGTCAAGATATGGATGATACAGATGTTGAATAATGGGCCGAGACTATGTGATTAAACACATTTCCTATTCCACTATTCCAAGCTCTAAAACTTAGGGATCAGCACGAATGGAAATATTCAAGGCCCAGTTGTCTCTTTCCAGACACAGACAAGGGCATGGAGAACAGTAAAAACTGTTCCCAAAGGGCTTTCTGTCCCCCCGGGTCTCACCTCTGTTTCACCCCTAGGTTATGTTTTATGGAATGGGGGATTCAGAGCCTGGAGAGCGGCAGTCTCTATGGTGAGGACATTGGGTCCATGTGGCAGCCATTTGTTCAAATGGGAAGAAGGCCCTCACTGGAGGGTTTGCCCCAGGGACATCTCTCCCGGAGTCATTATGGAATTTGGTTTTGGGCTGTTTCTTTTGGAACCATCACAAAATGAAAAAAGCTATTATTTTCTTTGATTCTTTGTTAGCTAAACATTTAACACTTAAATGTATCCAACTCATTTGGCTTTTCTCTACCTACATCACACTGGTAGAAAATTCCCCTCAGCAAATGACTTGCGCCTCCATAATACCTGTCAGGCCTCCACCCACAGCAGACCTTTCAGAGCAGCGGGGGAAACCTCTGACAGTTCTCTGGTCTGCTCAGCATTGGTTCTCCACCTCGGCTCTTATACGCTTTCTCTTGCTCTCCAACCCTGTGACTCCAGAACTTTCCTGTCACTATCTGCATATTTCTTCCCACTTCACCAAGAAATGGAATCCATTGCCCAAGGCCTCCTTTCACTCCTTGCCACCTTCCGTAAGAGCACACTTGCATGCCTCGCTGTTCTCTGCTTCTCTTATCACAGAAGTGGGAATCCCTCTACCAGTTCTTTGACATCTCTTTCCTTCTTACAGAGTATGGAAAAATATTTTTATTCTTCTTTCTCCTTTGTTTTTCATCTCACTCCTTCTAGAGTTTATTGGAACTGCTCACCTGTTTGTCTTGTATCTGTCAAGCAAGTGTGTAAACCTCCCAACCAGGGACCTGGTCTATTCTGCTTCTTATTGTATTTCTAGAGCAGAGAATGCCAGATTCAAAAAATGTTTTTTGTTGTTGTTGTTTTTGGGTTTTTTTTTGTTTGTTTGTTTTTTTTGTTTTTTTTTGTTTTTTTTTTTTTTAGGAATGAATGAGAGCTAAGAAGGATGTGTGGTGCAGCAGAGTGGTGTTATGGAACCCAGAATGTTCTATGGTACCATTTCAATTATTTTGTTCCCTTTGAGCTCTCCTATGTGAGTCTTTACTGATAAGTTGTCTTTCATCAACAAAGCTGTGGTGCTCTTGGAACACTTACCTGTAGTTGCTTGTTTATTTCTAGGCCAACACAGTCTATGTCCTTGACCACTTGTCAAGTTTATGGCATTCATACTGTGTCATGCTACCAAGGGACTATGAACATGTAAATTTCTCAGTGAATTATTTATCAGAGAGTTTATAATAAAACTCTACTTGAGAAGAGGAAGCTACAGGAGAAAATGTTTTGATAGAATTAAACTTACTTATTCCTTTATATTTCCTGGAGCATTGCACAGTCCATAAGAGATACCAATGACATGGTTGGAAACAGTGTGCTTTACCAAAAGAAAAGCATTCAGCCATTTATATAAACAAGGAAAGTGAAGGTCAGTTTCAGAAAATAGTATGTCATCCACTAGGGGGAAAAAAAACCTGTTTAAGCCCTATCATTTAGAGGTTATATTTGAGGTCAAAATAAAATGAATCATTCACTTCCAGCTATCACATGTCACATTGTGAATTTTTCTTGAAGACAAGTAGGAGGAAAAAGCAGTATAAAATCTGTTTCTGTGTCACCTCGTACCTCTGTAGGCTAAAACAAATTTTGGTGTTTTGTCTTTGCCCAGTAGACTTTGATATTTTAAAATTTGGAATAAAATTAATTACATATTTTTATTTTAAATAACTATCTCAATAAGTGTTTGTTGATGGCTTGCTATGTTGTAACACTAGCTTGGACTTTGAGGGATGAGAGAAAGGAAGATGATGCTTTAACTGAGCTGACTCGTGGAAGAGGGCAGATGGTAACCAGGCTAAGGGTGGTGAAACCGCCAGGAAGAAGTACCAGAATGTTCAAAAGCATGAGGCATGAAAAAGTACAATGCATGTGGAAGGCTACAGATGCTTCCATTTGGCTAGAGAAGTGGTACATGTAGAGATATAAAAGTAGGACTCCTGAATATGGTGGGGGGGATACAAGGAGTGAGGAGAAAAAGGAGCACTGAGGATGAAATATGAGGAAACCCTCACACCCAAGAGGTGAGCATCAGAAGTGCCTCCCAAAAAGAGAGAGAAAAAGCAATTATAGAAGAAGTGATATCACACACTGAAAAAAATCCACAGAGTGATAGAGTAGATAAGTTACACTAATGACTAATTTTTCACCCTTCTTGTATCTACTCCTAGTATTATGTAA